CTGGGTGATGGCAATTATCCAGGAATTCTTTGTACTATTCTTGTAACTTTTTTTATAAGCCTAAAATTATGTGAAAATAAATAATAGTAATAAATTTTAAAAATATGTTAAGACATGTTAATAGGGCATAGATACTGTAACTTTTTGTTGAAAATATAGTTTAGAAAAATATCTAGCGATTATATATCCTTCAGTCTTTAAAGGTAATTCAAAAGTATTAAAATTTAAATATAACCTTCATTATGCATAGAGGAATGGTTTTGAATATCTCTGTATATGTGCCAATTGTGGTATAGATAGATATGATAAAAATACATGTAATGTTATATTATATTATTATATTATCATATATCATATCAATACATGTAATAGTATATATGTTTATACATCATATGTGTGTGGAGAATGCAAAATATTTTTTTTTTTTAAGATTTTATTTATTTGCGAGAGAGAGAATGAGAGACAGAGAGCATGAGAGGGAGGAGGGCCAGAGGGAGAAGCAGACGCCCCCGCTGAGCAGGGAGCCTGATGTGGGACTCGATCCCGGGACTCCAGGATCATGACCTGAACCGAAGGCAGTCGCTTAACCAACTGAGCCACCCAGGCGCCCAAGAATGCAAAATATTTCTAAGTGATATCCATATTAACTAAAATCTCAGCAATTCCTTTAGGGAAAGTACAGTATTTTAATAGCATTTCATTGTTACATTTGTTTCATTTTCCTATGCAAAATGTATCAGGACACACAAATTAATTGTAACCCTGTACAGCATGTGCAAAAAGTAAATAACTTGTTGCAGAAGTCCCATAGGAGTCAAAATATTTGAAATGTAATATTTCTTCTCCAAGCACTTTGAAAGTGGCCATGTGACTTGTATGGATCGGAGACTATATTTACTTTCCGGGAAACGAAAAAGAATTAAGTGAGGTAAAAGGTACAAGATTGTAATCTGAAACAAATTAGAAAAGAAAATATAGACACAGTGATAATTACTGAAGGAAGAGACAGGGAGAATGCAAATGCATATGTAGTTTCCTGGTGGTGCTAGGGTTGGGAGTGGGTTGGGAGAAGAGCTGGTTTGGAAGGGAGAGTGATAATTCAGTTGGGGACCTGCTGCACTGGGATATCAGGGGACATCCATGTGGAGATATGCAGTAGTCAAGAGAGGGTTGGCCCTGGAGAGACATACGTTAGAATCATTCACAAGCAATACACAATAGTTAAAATTGTCAAAGTCAGGAAGACTGAAGAGGAAGAAGCTAGAAAGAAGAAAGCTGGCTGAGAACAGGAGCCCCAGGAACTACCCACCATGGGGGACGGGAAGAGGAAGAAAGAAGCCATGAGAGGTGGGAAGAGGAGGAAAATGGTACAATTTCCTCGAGGCCTTGGGAGGAAGGGAGGAAGCTTTTGCCAGCCAATGCAGGACACTGCATAGAAACACAGAGTCTGAGGACAAAGTAAAGACTATTGGTTTTGAGGAATAAAAAAGCACGATCAGCTTTTCAGTAAACTGAGTAACAGAGTGCAGAGAGAGGCAGCCAGATTACAAATGTTAAGCGAGGAGTGAGGGTGAGGGAATGAGGGCAGTGAGAACGTTTAAGAATGAGCCAGTGTTCATTGCAGCGATGTCCACAATAGCCAAACTGTGGAAGGAGCCAAGGTGTCCTTCAACAGATGAATGGATAAAGAAGATGTGGTTCATATATACAATGGAATATTACTCAGACATCAGAGAGGATGAATATCTCCCATTTGCATCCACATGGTTGGAACTGGAGGGTATAATGCTAACTGAAATAAGTCAATCAGAGAAACAATTATCATATGGCTTCACTCATATGTGGAATATAAGAAACAGCACCATAAGGGAAGGGAGAGAAAACTGAATGGAAAGTCATCCGAGAGGGAGACAAACCATATGAGACTCTTGACTCCTGGAAACAAACTGAGGGCTTCAGAAAGGGAGGTGGGTGGGGGGATGGGGTCACTGGGTGATGGGCATTAAGGAGGGCACGTGATGTGATGAGCACTGGGTGTTATACTCAACTAATGAATCATTGAACACTATCAAAAACCAATGATGTGCTATACCTTGGCTAATTGAATTTAAATTTAAAAAAAAAAGAATGCTAGGGATTCTGCTGGTGGGAATGCCAGCTGGTGCAGCCACTGTGGAAGAATATGAAATTTGCTCAAAAAACTAAAAATGGAGTTACTATATGATCCAGTGATGTCACTGCTAGGTATTTACCAAAGAATATAAAAACACTAATTCAAAAAGATGTATGTATCCCTATGTTTACTGCAGCATTATTTACAATAGCTAAATGATGGAAGCAGCACAAATGTCCATCGACAGGCGAATGGATAAAGAAGATGTGGTGTATGGACTCAGTGGAATATTACTCAGCCATGAAAAAGAATGAAATCTTGCCATTTGCAACAACGTGGATGGAACTAGAGGGTATTATGCTAAGTGAAATAAGTCAGTCGGAGAAAGACAAATACCATATGATTTCACTCATGTGCAATTTAAGAAACCAAACAAATGAACAGAGATAAAAGAGAAAATCAGACTTAAATATAGAGAACAAACAGATGGTTACCAGAAGGGAAGTGGGTGGGGATGGGTGAAAGAGGTGAAGGGAATTAGAGTACATTTATCGTGATAAGCACTGAGTCATGTATAGAATTGTTGAATCACTATATTATACACCTGAAATTTATATGGCATGGTATGTTAATTATACTTGAATTTTTTAAATGGCAAAAAAAAAATGCTAAGATAAAATATTAAAAAAAAAAAAGACTAGCGATTAAAGACAGGAGCAGCATTATACACAGTCCTCTAGACAGCGTATCCGAGTGTGTTGAGTTTGAGTGCAGAACTGGGATTAGAACCTGGGTTTCTGGAACCTTCTCCTCAAGGCAATCCTGCTCCCAATTCCCCCTGGCTGTGGGTCTGATTTGCAACAGTGGTGAGGACAGAGCCCTCACACGTGCTGGGATGGCAGCCTTCTTACGGTGTGGCCAAGTCTGCAAAGAGTTGCAAGCCCTTTCCAAAGTGAGTCAGGGGCATGACTCTAAGTAAATCAAATGCTGGTAAGACATCAAGAATTAGTGAAATTCCCAGAATCTATTTTAAGCAATTCTCAATGTATTTATTCAAATGGAAACAATGACTCAGTAAATATGGATAAATATTTTTACCAAATCTGTTTCTTTTGACCTTTTAATTTGAAGCCTAACTCATTTGGTTTATTTTCCCACTAAAAGCATTTAGCCTTCTTCTGAGAACACTTAGATTTGTTATTAAAGTTTTTTGGGGGGCGCCAGGGTGGCTCAGTCAGTTAAGAGTCTGCCTTCGGCTCAGGTCATGATCTCAGGATTTGGGGATCAAGCCCCGCATCGGGCTCCCTGCTCACCGGGGAGTCTGCTTCACCCTCTGCCTCTGCTCCTTCCTGCCTCGTGCTCTCTCTCTTTCTCTCAAATAAATAAATAAAAGCTTTTAAAAAAATTTTAAAAATAAAATAAATAAATTTTTTATTGTATGAAGCGATAAACTAAACCATATTTAGTGAAAGACCTAAAGAAAATTTTAGTTAGCATTATATTAAAGATTATACATTTTTAAAAACCATTTCTAAATAACTAGAGTTTTCTGATTTGACAAATGACTCTGAGTCTTTGGGGCATACAAGTTGTCAAAAATAAGGAAATTGAGACTCATGCCCAATCTATGCAGAAGGTTCTCCTGGTATTGCCAAAATACCTGAGCACTGTTATCAACGAAGTCCTAGCAGTATCAGACAAGCTAAGTCAAGATTTCTTTTAAAAAGCTGTGTAATTTAAATCCTGCCCTTGAGGAAGTGACTTGCTCAATTTAGGGAAAAAGAAAAAAAAAAGGAGAGAGAGATTACAAAGAATATAACTGCTAATCTCCAGGAGAAAATATCTTGTCACACACTTCAAGTTTTACCTTTTTTCCTCAAGCAAAACTGCTCCGTGTTCTCTTCCCTTAGTTTTCCTCTCCACATCTGACCCAGCAGGAAACATAAACCAAAAAACTCTGCCTTTTGAATCTCCTCCTTTTCCATCTGCACTGTAGTCCTAAGGAAATTGAAGCAGACTGGAGCTCTATCATTTCTAGCCTGGAGATATTTCATTTTTATTCAAATAGTTTAAGTTCCATAAAGCATATGAAGCTACATCTTCAAATTTCAAAGAATACGGCAAGTGGGTTCTTTTCTCGTCATCATTTAATATTTGACAAATTGCTCCTGAATGATTTTGCTACCTAAATATACTCTTTTTCTCATGTGCGGTTTTTATCCATTTGGGTGGAGTTTTTTATTTTATTTTTTTATTTTATTTTTATTTTTATTTTTTTTTAAAGATTTTATTTATTTATTTGAGACAGAACGAGAGAGAGAGCACATGAGAGGGGGGAGGGTCAGAGGGAGAAGCAGACTCCCTGCCGAGCAGGGAGCCCGATGCGGGACTCGATCCAGGGACTCCAGGATCATGACCTGAGCCGAAGGCAGTCGCTTAGCCAACTGAGCCACCCAGGCGCCCCTGGGTGGAGTTTTTTAAATCTTTCTGTCACTGTATCACCTTCAGTTCATTCTTTAAAGCACAGAATTATTACATTTTTGTTGCTGACAAGATATGAAGTAATTCTTTGAGACGCATTATATTCAAGAACCGTGTATTTGTTCCAATGCCCAGGAGTGAGATGCTTTTGAGAAATAGCATACTTAGTGACAGCATATTCCAGAAGTTATGTGGAGCCAGCATTTGGAGGACAGTCATATGGGTGCCCATATCCCTTAATCATGTTCACGCCCACCATTTGAGATGCGCCGCACATGATTCCTGCCTCCAACAGTGCCTCTCCCCCCATCTTTGACCCAACAGATGCTCTCAATTGGTACCTGCTATATACTTTTGCAGCTATATTTACTGTACATTAAAATTATTCTGAGATTGTATTTAACTCACCCTGATTGTCCCGGGGTGAAGTCAGTTTGGGGGCTCTCGTGAGCACTCAGCAAACCCTTGTGGAAAAAGAAAGGACAGAAGGAGGCAGAAACATTATTCGTTTCTAATTCTAGCTTTGGCTGGGGTATCCCTCTAATAGTTAAAACAATACAAGTGAGAGTATAGCAGGGGACAAGAATCCTCAATACTCTCCAAGAGCAGCAAGGCTGAGTACAGTATGGTGGGCTACCCAAATCCACAATGCCTGATGATCAGCTTTATGTTCAACACAAGTGTCTGAGTCCATTCTGGCGGCTGTAACAAATTATATCATAGACTGGGTGGCTTATGGACAATAGAAACGTATTTCTCACAGCTCTGGAGACTGGCAGTTCAAGATAAAGGTGCCACCATGATTGGATTCTGGTGAGAACCCCCTTCCTCTGGTTTGCAGATGGCTATCTTCTCCTTAGATCCTCACAGGGTGGAGAGTGGAGACATTTTTTGAAGTCTCTTTTATAAAGATACTAATCCTTCATAGACACATGGGCCCCACACTTGTAACCTCATTACCTCCCAAAGGCCCCACCTTTTCATACATCATACTGGGGGTTAGGATTTCAACATAAGAATTCTGTTTTGGGCGGGGGGGCTCAAACTTTCAATCCATAACAGCAACGATGTGGTGGCACTTCTTGTAGCGAATTTAGGAAAGACCGAGTTATCCATTGGCAGGGCTAGTACACCTGCTTAGCCTAACGTAGCTCTGAAAGGTCTGGGGTGTGGAGTGAGGAAGAGTTGACCTCTCTCCAGGACTTTCCAACCCAAAGTGACACATCTCAAAACATTACAGTCTCCCCACTGGGCTTGACATCTCGATTAGGGAGTCTGACCAAATCAAAGAAGGTACTTCTCTTTTTAAAATTCTTAACATGATCCTTTCTTACCCAGCTTATTTTGGCAGTTTTGCATTTGAAATCAAGTTCTCCTTACTTAACTAAGCAGCACATTCTTCCCTCTAAAGCCTCTTTCCTCAAATTCTCTTGAACTAGAAATAGTCTCACTGTCTGATGTTTTGGGCATTTAATTGGTAGAGCCTCATTTCTCTACTATTTGTTATTCACTTCCTTTTTTTCTGATAGAGTCATCACATGAAACCCAGTCTTCACTTAGCATACATTGAGCACCGACCATGTACAGAATCCTAATGTACCTCTTCTAAATAGGGAACCAAGGGGCTCCCTAGGGCAGTGATAGCTTTGGAAGTTGAGGCTGGTTGACAGCATAGGCTTCCAAGCCAGTCGTCAGCTGGCCAAGTAGCGAAGGCCAGGGAGTACAAGGTTAAATGGGTGCACCAGGGCACTCCTGATTCAATAGCTCAGCCCGTGATCGTTACTTGCAGTCACTCCTCTATGAAAGGCTGAATGGGAGGGTTGTGGTATTTCAGGATGGAGAGCAATATGGATAAATGTGGACACTGCCATTGAGGGTTAAAAAATGAATTGCCTAAGTGCAAGAAGGGGTGACTTAGATTGACAGAGGGTCTTTAAAGGTATTTTTATTTTAAGTTGTGAAATATTTCAAGTATCGACTGACCACAAGCACAACCTGAGCCAGCAGGATTCTAGATCTGAAAAAAACCTAAAATTGTTGAGTCGTTAGGCAGCAAGAGAAGAAAAGCAATGCCCTGCTCAAGGGGGGCCATGGTTTCCTGGGTCTGTCTGCTCCAGATACTCCCCCACCCCCTCTTTCGAGGGAACTTGACAGAGGCACACTGGGGTGTGTTTTAAGCACAATGATCTGAATGGTGAGGGATCAGCCTCTGAGAACTGAGAGGGATGCTCGAAGGAGTTTAGGCTGTTTAATCCAAAGAAGAGGCTCAGAGACCTATGACAGCTGTCTCAACAATGAGGGAAGGGCGGTCAGGGGCCCAAACAGAGTTGACTTATTCTCATGACTCCAGAAGGCCCTCAGAATCAATGAGTAAAAGTCACAGAGAGGAAACAGGTTTCAGCTCAGTATAGAGAACTTTCTAACATGAATGTTGTCCAGCAATGAGTCTGAGGTGTTACAGGAAATAAAAGCCTTATCCCTGGAGGGCTCCGTTAGATACCAGATGCCACCTCCCAGGGAATCAGCAGATTCCAAACTTCCTCCCAAGATGCTCACAGTCCCAAGGTGTGGGAGATGGGCAAAAACAAAAACAAAAACAAAAACCCACTACAATGCCATGTAATGAGTGCTCAACAGAGACAGAAGATTTATACAATGCTCTGAAAGATCAGAGAAGAACTCTTCAGATAGGAAGTGACATCTGACCTGCTACTTGAGGTACGTAGAAAATACAACAGAGGAGTCACCATGTGCAATGACTTAGAAAGCTTCCATGAGGCCTGAGGAGTGCACTGGATCTGAAATACCAAGTGTTGGAACTGGAAGTGGTGGAGAATAAGCCCACCATTGAGAACCATGCCAGGAATTTGGAATTGACCACAGGAGCAAATCCCTGATTACATCCCTATTTTAAGAGTATCACTTCGGCAGCTGCTTTCGAGGTAGACATTGTCTTGATATGTTGAAGAGCTCATCTATCACAGGAAACTAATGCAATCCAATATCAGTTTCTGTATTGACTTATGGAGTCTATTTCCCAACTTACTAACTACATGACATTCAGATTGAATGAAAAGGAAACCCTTTTCAAAAAGAGAAAAGCGGGATCCCTGGACACTTCTGATTCTGTGTTTCCTGTTTATTTCAGAGGCCGGCAAGCTGTTGAGAGTAGAGACGATGTCATTTCACCCAAATATCTAAACGGTTCTGGGCCACATGAGGCCTCAGTGTATGTCTAACACATTAGGATGTGGAGAAGGTGTTTTATTTTTGAAAACCAAAGATGGGGAACCCCAGCACAGTACACCAGTCACATTTTAATTTAAAAATAATTTGGGGGCGCCTGGGTGGCTCAGTCGGTTAAGCAACTGCCTTCGGCTCAGGTCATGATCCTGGAGTCCCGGGATCGAGCCCCGCATCGGGCTCCCTCCTCGGCGGAGAGTCTGCTTCTCCCTCTGGCCCTCTCCCTTCTCACGTGCTCTCTCTCTCTCTCTCTCTCATTCTCTCTCTCTCAAATAAATAAATAAATCTTAAAAAAAAAAAAGAATAAAAAAATAATTTGGAAAAATTATCACTTTTTGTTCCAATCACTTCTAATACATTCTTCATTAATTGGTCTGCCTAGTTAGATAAAATATACTCTTTGCCATCCAAACTCCTTTACCCTTCTTTTGGTAAAGTGCACCAGAATCTGGCCAGCTCTGGGCCTATGCAGTATGGATGGAGTTGATTCCACTCTCAGCTCTAGCAGTTGCTCCTCAATGACCAGAGCCAATCAGGGTCCTGCATTCCCCTGGCCATAGTGATTGGTTTAGAGATGGCTCAAACGCTGAATCAGAGCCACAAGACACCACTAAAACTTTGCTGAGGGTTCTGGAGAAGACACCCTTAACCTTCCCCCCAGGCTTGAAGCTAGAGGTAGGGGGATGAAAGGCCTGCAAGTCCTGCAGCCAACTTCCACTCACAGAGGGAGAGCCTCCCTGAGGATGGGTACATGACAGGAGTCAGAGCCACACAATGGAGAAAATGCACCTCTGAGAACATAGCCTGAACCAGATCCACCACTGGGCTTTCCATCTACATTAGTCACAAATTCTCTCCTTTGCTTGAGCTACTTTGAGATTCTCCGTGCCTTGCAACCCAGAACTCCTATCTGGTAGATAAAACTTTTGGGGGGAAATTGAGAAGATAAATTCATCATTCATTCTATCTGCCTATTAAGAAAGCTATCTCTGGGGATGCCTGGGTGGCTCAGTCATTAAGCGTCTGCCTTCGGCTCAGGTCATGATCCTGGAGTCCCGGGATCGAGCCCCGCATCAGGCTCCCTGCTCAGTGGGGAGTCTGCTTCTCCCTCTGCATGCTGCTCCTCTCCCCCCGCTTATGTGCTCTCTTGCTCTCTCTCTCTGACAAATAAATAAATTAAATTAAATCTTAGAAAAAAAAAAAAGAAAGCTGTCTCTGCGGTTAAATTATTTTTTGCCAAAAAAACTCACCTGGTTGACATTTTCCTAGTTCTGCTTTGTGAAGGTGCACAGAAAGTACATTTTCTAACCTCTGCATCATGCTCCCCCTACATCATGAGACTTTACTGGCCCTTATGCTATCTCGAAGAGTAGACATTTGTAGGTTTGTCATTCTGTGTTAATGGGCTTTGGCCGTCCAGTAAGAGGGCAATTTCTTGCTTATCTTTGGATATCCCACAGCCCTTAATACAGGGCCTGGCATGTAGCAGGTGCTCAATAAATGTTTGATAAAGTAATTTGCACTCAATTACCATTTCATGTACAGTGCCCTTCCAGGTCATACAAAATCGAATTTTGAGTTGTTCTGGCAGTGTCGTTCTTTCAAAAAAATCAATAGAAATAAATATGAAATTAGTGAAAACACTTCCTTCTGAATCACTCATAGATTCTGCAGGACTGACAATCCCACGTGTAACAGAACAAGTCACGTATTTTGAAAGGAAAAGTGAGTATCTGTAAATGGTATTTTAAAGATCTAGACAATGTTGAAGAAAAGCCTTCAGTTATATTTTCATAGAACTAGGAAATCATATTTTGTCAAGAGTGAAATGTAATCCTGAACACAGAGATACACAAAAGCTGTTTGAACTTTATCAAAAATAATAGTAATCCATTGTATCTGACTCAAAAGACCAAGGCAAAGGACAATTATTGAATGGACTAACATAATTTACTTCCTCTTCCTTCACCACCATTTTAGCTGTTTTTTGGGAAAATCATGTCAATTAATTGTCCTGGTGTCCCACTGTCATCATGGAAATCTAGCACCTTGCATACTGTCTGCATATTTCTGGTGCTCAGGGAATGTTGATTGAACTCAAAGAGAGGAAAGAATTCCTATGCATTTAGTATGTGTCAAGCGCTTCTTAAAGATGTTTTAATTTTTTATCCCATTTAATCTTTATGACAATCCTCTTATTCATCCATTCATCCATTTATTC